ACGCGCCCTTCACAGAATCGATTCTCTTAAGGAGTTTATCCGAAATGAAATTCGAAGAAAATATTTGCAGTTAGCAAATACGTTCTCTATTACGATCGGAGCAGAGGCATTCGTTTGCGTATTTGCCGAAACTATTTCGCAAGTACGTGACATATTTCTTTCGCAAAGATGACTTTCAATTCAATATACTAGAAAGAATTTTACGTAGTATAAACACAGACACAATTATTTGTTGCTTATCTTTATTTTTTAACAGAAATTTTTTAAAACTAATAATGAAGTTTTGTAAATACATAATCGTTTAACATTTATAACTAACTAGCTGTTGACCGCGAGGCCGTTCGCGCGGAATAAAAAAAACATGATTAGTAGCCTATGTGTTCCTCCAAATTATGTTCTATATGTATGCCAAATTTCATCTAGATCCGTTCAGCCGACCTAGAGATACCTTCAAACATCCATCCATCTAAGCATTCGCATTTATAATATTAGTAAGATTAAAGTGAAATTATAATATAAAGAAAAGTGTCTTACCCAAGATATCACTAAAGATTTCTCCATTTATTTATCAAATCAACATATTTCCACAAAAATACACTCTTATATTTAATGATTTAAAAATAGCAACCTCAAATGAAATCCACATTTTTTTTTGTTATACCCACAAGTGACGTCGACATATAAAATATATTGGGTTACCATAAATGAAAAATAAATTACGACAATTTATTAAAAAAACATTTTGTAAATAATATTATAACAAACTCTGTCATCGAGATTAGAATATGGAAATTAGAAAATATTTTGTATCAAATCGTAAAAATATAAAATCAATAGAGTTGATAAAATCAAAATAATAAAATAAGGAGAAATATGTACATACAATTTATCTAATACATTGTGACCTCATTATCAATATTAAAGAGAATATAATACTTAAGTCTCCGAGGTCAAGGATAAATTCTCCTCCTATTCAGTAACAAAGCCTTTGTTAGAATCTTTACATTATTTCATGAATACCTGACATAGTTTCCTCGGTGAGATGTTACATCAACGAAAATGTTTGCTGTAAATTATGTGAAAATCCTCGAACATTTCATACTTAGGTAAGAATTTGTGGTCGCATTAATTAGCTTCAAGCGTCACATTATAAGCGGATATTATATTTCATAGTTTAAGCCATTATAGCTACATGTGTAACTAAGCCTAAGCCTAACCTAAAATCTTGTTGACTTCAATCCCAAAAAGACACAAGTATGCGCCATTACCGCTAAAAAACAGCCCTTTGTCGTGGATATTCGTTTCGAGGGCACTCCCCTGGTTGCCTCAGCCAGTATCAGTATTCTCGGTGTTGACATATCGAATGACGTTCAGTTTCGCGGTCATTTGGAAGACAAGGCCAAGCTGGCCTCCAAAAAACTGGGTGTGCTCAGCAGAGCGAAGCAGTATTTCCAACCGGGCCACCGCCTTCAGCTGTATAAGGCGCAAGTTCGGCCCCACACGGAATACTGCTCGCATCTCTGGGCGGGAGCACCCCAGTACCAGATTCTTCCATTTGACCGCATACAACGGAGAGCGATTCGAATCGTCAACGACCGAGCTCTTACTGATCGGCTCGACGCTCTGGCACTGCGGAGGGACGTTAGTTCCCTCTGCATTTTCTACCGCATATACCACGGGGAGTGCTCTGAAGAATTGTTTGGAACGATTCCTGCCGCCGAGTTCCGTCATCGGACGACACGACAGACCGCCAGGTTCCATCCACACCATTTCGATGGCTGGCAATCCACAACCGTGCGGTTTGCGCGAAACTTCCTGCCTCGCACAGCAGCGTTGTGGAATGGTCTGTCCTCGGCGGTATTTCCAAACCGCTACGACTTAGGGTCCTTCAAGAAGCGAGCTTATCACCACCTCAAAGGCCGGCAACGCATCTGCGGTTCCTCTGGTATTGCTGATGTCCATGGGCGTCGTTGAACACCTCGGTGTTCCCGCTGCTCGTTTGCCCCCTTCTGTTATAAAAAAAAAAAAAAAACTAGAGTCAGCCTTGAACCTTTGCCTCAAACAATACGAGTCTTCAGATTCTAAGACCAGAGTCTGCTCCAACTTTATCCAAGTCTGTTCCTTGTTACTTTTTTACTCTCATATTTTATCATGTCATTCATCTTAAGCCTATTATCCTGGGGTCGGCAGCTACTGAACGCCGCCAAGTTTGTTAAGGATCGCCACGTCTTCTTGTTCGTAGCGGAATTCACTCCAGTGCCTCCCTGGGAATATGACTGCGATCCCGACGAAGCCTGACCCAAGACCAAACGCAGAGCCCAAGATAGAGCGAACTGGCGGCGCACTGTGGACGCCCTCCGCCCCACTATGGGAACACAGGACTTTAAGTCAAGTAAATCTATTCTGGGGTCAATAACCATCTGGCTCTTAATCTAACAAATATGTAAAAATGTTAATTTTGTCCTTAAAGTACGTTTGTAAATTGGTGATTTTGATAGTTGGCAAGTAACTACATTTTTTTAATATCTCTGAAACTCGTCCCGATTGCCAGTAACTCCGAGCAACCTTTTGTACTATTTTCCTCATATCCATTATTAGTTCGCCTAACAATAGAACTCTACGTAATATGAAACGCGTATAATCCATTATACTTTATAAGTAATAAGAAACATTACGGACATCAAGCAATAGTAAATTTATTATTCATAAATATATTTTTGTACTAGACAATTATTACTAATATTTAAAATACACATTTTTTTAAATAAATTATTTAGTGACACAGTTGGTCAGTCAAAAAGGGTGAAAAGAAATCAGGTTACTTTAAACTTAACAATAACTACCATAGCCTTGTCATTTTAATCGTACTTTGGCCTTATAAATGCGAATGTTTGGATGGATGGATATTTGTTTAAAGTTAAATCAAGAACGGTTGTATAAATCTCGCTGAAATTTGTCATAGATGTCGAACATAGTCTGGAAAAAAGTTAATTTCATATTACTGCATTAATATATAGAATAGCGATATATATATATATATATATATATTATATTATAATTAAATTTGATAGACAAGTGAGTCATTCAGCACGTTATAATTGCCATTAAATCTTTATTATGGTATAATGAAAAAAATGAGTAACTGGATCCAATATAATTTTTATGTTTCAAATAATAACTTTTTATGTCAGCCTTCTGGAAATTGTATGTTAATGGCCACTCCTGATCTTGTTATATCAGGAAATGTGGTTAACTTTATTATCGCACATAATCCATAATAAAAGAATAACTTTAATATATCTATACTAGCTATCGCCCATCACTCCGTCCGCGTGGAATTACGAAAAACTTAATTAGAGACTGTGTTTTACATCTATGTCAAATTCCACCGAGATCCGTTAAGCAGTTCTGGAGATATATTCTTACAAACAATCCATCCATTCATCCATCCAAACATTCGCATTTATGTTAGGAAGAGTCATGTACAAATCGAATTAAAAAGTACTTTCATTTTAAAAAGTAATATAGTAGTATAGTGGTGCTTGTGGACCATCAGTGGTCTGCGTAAGACCCGACAGGGTATGATGGCAGGAAATAAAATTAAAGGAAGGAAGGTTATTGAAGAAATGTGCCATCAGGGCACTACAAAAACTAGTAAAATTTTAAAGAGGTATGCGGAAGAAAAAAGATTGGATATTAAATAGCCCAAGAATCGAAACATACCTCAATTTTTTGTAATTAAACAAGAAATAATTATGATAAAACATTTTATTATAAACAATAATTAAAAAACATATTTTTTTATAATATTATATACAGACAATCCAATAACAGTCTTCTATGACGAATAATGTAAAAGTCAAAGAGGTGATCACACTAGCTTCGGGTGACCGGTCATTGCACCCACCTGACAGCCTCAACGCGGCGTACACGCGTTAATTACGAGTGTACACCGCGATGGTGACACGGAATCACGCTGCCTGATGGATATAATAAGCGATAACCTTTTACAGAAGGTTTCCACTGCTGTGATACTTGTATTATTATACAATCATCTCTTTCATTTTCTTTGACAAAACAGAGACATTAATATGTATTAACTCAAGTGTCACGACAGTGGAAACCCACTTTTAGGCGACCGCGTCTTACACAGTTACGGTACACGCATACCCAACTGTTTCCAGACCACATCTATATATTTTCCATTACAATTTTAAATGCAACCAGAATAACCAACTTTCAGACGTCGTGTAAGACACATAATTATGACGTAATACGTAGACGACTTTAAAATTGTTAAGAAAAAAAAATCGATATAAAACAATCTTTTTGATATTATTCTACTATCATTTTATAAAAGACTGGAATGAAGTTAAGATCTGCGAAAATGATTTGTTCTAAAAAAAAATATAACGTGCTAGGGTCATAAATATAGATATTATGAATTAAAAAAATATTAATTTCGATTTTATTCGAAAAATTTAACAGGTCAAATCTTACATAGACTTTTTGTTAGTGAAGTTTGATAATTTGTTTTGAAATCTAAAATATTATCAAACTATAAACAAAAAGTATTGAAATCCTGACAAATTAGCAAATTGAAAGTACTATCATTATTAATAAAATAGCCTCAGATTTTCAAACAATAACGACTTAATAATCAATTATTAATAATTAGATTGGTTACATTGTAAGAGACAATTATTACATTTAAAAAGCGTCTGAACAAAAACCGATAAATCACATTTTACCATTTTTTTATGATGATAATTGGTTCATCATCATCATCAGCTCACTATACGTCCCCACCGAGGGGCTCGGAGCCTACCCTAAGTTGACTTGAGGGGTGACTAGGCTATAGTGAACCGCACTGGCCAAGTGCGGGTTGGTTGACTTCACACATATCTTTGAATTTCTTCTCAGATATGTGCAGCATCACTGTTTTTCTTCACCGTAAGAACGTCGGATAAATGTACATATGTAAACTGGAAATCGAAAAACACAATGATACATGGCGGGATTCGAACCCAGGACCTGCAGATTGCAAGTCAAGTGCTTAACCCCTGAGCCACAGATGCTCTATCTGGTGACCGATGCCAATTAGCTGTTCTCGATAAACTTGGCCATATTCACTTTTCAAGATAAAATAACAATGTGATTTAGCGATTTTTGTTCCATTGCTCCTCAATTTGTCTATACTTTCATATTACGGACATGGTATAAGACCCTAGACGTTTATTGTATAATTTCATTTTCGACTAACTTAATGTAATAACTGAATTAAATATTCTGCCCCTGTGCAAAACCCTTAATAACCATATAAATTACAGGTACATACAGTTAAATATACCTCTTTATAATACAATAACAAATATAAAACAAAATATATGAACCCAAGTTTTAACGTGCGTGAACTTTATAAAATCTTACCCGCTTACTTCACCAATATATTTAATTTACATTAGGCGAATACAGATCAAAATATTCTATACTATACACTGTTAAAATCTTGGTGGGTGGGTACAAAACACTGATCTGTTATAAATAGACAGGCTATAAGTCATTGTATTTTGTGCCAATTTGATTTCCGCCATTTTGACGCTGACGGTTGCGGTTGGTAGCGGTAGTAAGGATACGAAGTAACTGTCAGGAATGTTAATACGTTTAACTCGGAACTAAATAAAAGATGTAATTTCAAAGCAATTACCTATCCATTTATAAAGATCAGTGGTACGGTAATAATGACCAGATTCACTTGTCTATGGTCTTTATGGTTGACGCCAAACCCATCACCGTGTTTATGGACATCTACCATAGATAGTCTAATTGCCGTATAAATATAGCTTTTATAATAAATATTTGTTGCCAGTTACACTAGATGTTAGGCGATTATGACTTATTTTGTGGCAATATCGATTATAACAATAAAAAAAACTTTCTCAAAGTAAGACGGGAGTCATGCTTTGCTCTTTGATTTGTTAAAAAAATTTAGTTACTTTATTGAAATGGTTTTGTGTTCCAAAAAACGATGTTAAGAACAACGCCATCTATTACCAATAAACGCCATTAAAATCGTATCTGGAGACAGATCGTTGCGCATACAACCGTATTCCATGGTATTAGGGTCCATAATCGCATACAATCGCATTGAATAATTGCACTTACAATCGTATCTCAAGATGTTAAGGTATATAGGTATAATCGCATATCACGGCGTGAGGATACGTGGGCTAGATAGCGAGCGGTTTGCCCCGGCACTGGTCGACGACGTAGCCGGTGAACCGCTTCAGGAACTTGGGGTACTCGCGCTTGTATACAGCGCGGAGCACGCCAGCGGGAGCCCAGCCGCCAGGATTCACTGGAACGTATATCAATTATATACCAACTGTATAAGGATCCAGTTAACATCGCATTGCTTTATGAAAAAGGGTGATATATTAAGGAAAGTAGTGATGACCAAATTGGTTTTTTGCGAGTGAGATAAATACGGATAGATGATAAGTATGCAGTTAACGAGATGTCCATTACTAGATGGTTTACCCCATTTTTGTCTATTAAAAGTCTTCATTTTTTGTATTCCCTTGAAACATAAACAATATATTGTGAGTACCATTTTACGTAATATCACCTAATACGTGCCTTGCGACCTTTTTCAAGATTTTAGAATTCATAGAATGTGAGAGATATTTTTTTAACAAATAGGGGGACGTATGTATGTATGTATGAAGATGTATGAATGAAATATGTATGTATACCTGTGCTGCAGTAGGCTATACTAGTGGTGATGTTGTCTCGTGTGGGCGCGGCGCCCGCCGGCCACGAGCTGCGGCACGCCAGGCACACCGTCACGAACAGACGGATGCACGCTCCAGTGTTGGGCTGCAATAAAACATTATCAACCTTATCACTTTACATTAAAGTTGATTTTTATATACCAGCAACAAGCGTCTTAAGAAACATACGAACGAATTTATGAAAAAAAATCCATGGTCTGTTTTCTAACCACACGAATCCATATCTCGTGGGATTCAGGTCAAGGCATAAATAATTTATCCATAAAAAACCCCTTTTTCCACTAGCACATCCAGTCTGTTACTTTTATGGGAGTCTACTAAATTTTTCCCAGACTAAGTCTGGATTGTCATAAAATTATCGGTTGCGAAGCAAGCAATTGTCGCACTAGTGGAAAAGGGGTGTATTCCACTATGGTACACTTACAGGGTAATCAGTGTTAGATGTGGAGTGGTTGGTGACGGCGTAGGTGTTGTCGTCTGAAGCGCGCACGTGCGACCAGAAGAGCGCGTCCCGCTGCGACGCCGGCCAGATGCGTTTGAACGTCTGGTGGAACACCAGCGCGTCCGACGATATCTCCTCTACTATCGTCATCGTCTCCAGTGTCGCTGGAATGGTTACAAAGGCCTTATATAACCTCGAAAACAAGCAAGAATTTCCATTTTACACTGGATTTCCACTGCTTAAACATCTGTGTAACAATATCTATCTATCTAATTCTCCTTTACAATTTTTTATTGTACACGCACGTACGTCACGGACGTACACGTACGTCACGGACGTACACGTACGTCACGGACGTACACGTACGTCACGGACGCACACGTACTATTAGGCGGCCGGCACTTTTGGTCTTTTTTTAAAGACGCAAGACTTTAAACTGCTTTTTATTGAATCTACAATAACGACACCGTATAGTCCCCGAATCCGTTACACGTGTAAGCCGCGAGTTTTGAAATATGCCTTACTTTGAATAAAAAATTAACTATAAGTTAAAGTCATTTTGCTAACGACGGAAAACTTCGTCAATGACTAATTGCTGACCGTGCAACCAGTTCATAACAAACAATAGAACGAAACTATTAACTTCAAGTTATTTGTCGAACAGTTCTTCAGGTCTTATAAGAAATATAAATCTTTTCATAGTATGGATAGATTTATCTTATTGTTCATAGTAACTCACTCTCCCATTCGTAGCGGTATCGCGGGTTGAAGAAGTAGTGGCACATCTCTCGCGCAGACACACCGCGCACTTTGTGCATCGCCTTCAGAGGGTCCATCACCATTCCGTCCACTTCCATCTCCCTACACAATAAAAAAACATAATACATACTAAAATCTTAGTAATCTTACTAATATTATAAATGTGAAAGTTTCGAAGGAAGGATAGATTTTTGGTAGAAGATATCTCCAAAACGGTTCAATACATTTCGCTGTTTGGCGCAAATGTAGAAGAATAGTTAGAAAGGAAACATGGCTATTCACTAAGTTTTTTTTAATTCTACGAGGACGAAGTCGCGGGCAAAAACTAGTAGTGTATCAAAATGTGTTTTCCTCATATATTTACGATAAATAAAACAAGCCTGATCTTAACAAGTTCAGTACTACCGAAACGCCAGCGAGTTGATTCATAACAAGTTAATGACCATAAACTTAACTTCAATAAAATTATGACCCTTTTGAATAAAACCATCACCATAATGTTGAAGCTAACAAATCCGCGCCATGGATCCCATATAAATCCAAATCTTACCTGTAGTACTTATCACTACGAGGCCTGCAACATTAATATTGGGTAGAGAAATAATAAGAAACGTAGAAGCCGGAAGAATATTTATAATCTCAACAAACAACAAACTTACCTATATCTGCAATTACTAGAAATTAATCACAATTAAAATCCTTTAATTCTCACCTCCTATACATTCTCATATCGCCCTCCTCCGCAAACAACTGCCAGCCGATACCTCCTCCGACTTCCTCGAACGCTGCCTGTATTTGCTCACTTGATATTCTGTTTATCTGAAAATTGTATAAGTAGATAACATATTAAAACCCTTTAAATACATTAAAATTTTAACATATTCATTTTAAAACACAATGTAGAGATAGATAAAGAAATTGAGATGAAAATGAGGAGAAGATATTAGCCTTACTGTTATGAAAAGCGTCTCTATTCTAACGATCGCCAGGGGGCATCACTAGACAATTTTGTTTATTTAATTGACAAACTATAAGATTTTCGATAAGACTCGAAAATTCTGTAATATTTATGTTAAATCGCTCAAATATAAAATATATACCACTGTTATTTTACAAAATCCTTTGTTTATCTCATAAAAACTGAAAAAGTTAAATATCATAATGGCCGCCATGTGTAGAATTCGATCTTCTGTTTATTTATTAGGCGCGGTATTAAAATGTGACATGAGCCTCACCTCTGGCCATAGTGAGTGCACGGTAAGGCGGTTGTCGAGCGCGGGAGGCGGCAGCTCAACCTGGTCGCGCGTGCGCTCCGCGGGGGGCACCACACGTGCACACCTCTCCTCCTCCATCTTGTCAAAGCCGGTCTCCACAGCATCGTAGAACTCGTCGTCGGGCAGCGTTGAGTGCGGCCCCTCCTGGAATACATACAACAAATATTTAAGATAAACATCATAACTAGTCAGGGGTAACGAAACTAAAATTTATGATCTGCGGATCAGTTCACGGCTCGCATGTGTGAAGGAAGATCACTGAACCGGATCACAGCTCAATTTGCACCTGCATAGACTTATGATTTGCGTTTACAGCTGCAAATTACTAGTCACCAAACAGCTCGTTGCTCATCGGCTCACTTAGTTATAGTAGATCGCAATAAGCGGTGAGCTGATTTAGTTCCGCTCAACGGTTCATTTCATGGAAGCTGAACTATTGAACCGGTTCATTGCTGATTTACACACGTCTAAAGATAACAATAAAAATAGCTCCGGACTAGGAAATCTACGTCAGTTGCACTGAACATGAAATCATAGTTTGAAGACTACTTAACTGTAATAATCGATAACCTCAAGAAGAAGACTAAATACTGTGTCAACAGGTTTTAAAAGGTGCTTTGGGTCGATTATGGGCATTATTACTTTGATATAAATTCAGTGTAAGTATTAGAAATGTACACAAACAAACATTACAAATATTTATTTTAGCAGACATTGTAGAGACGTACAACGCAACGTAACAACGCGTGACCTTGCGAAGTTCTGTTCCAGCGTCATACTTCGCCGATAAGCACTTTCCTTTAACAACCTCATTTAACATCACTAATTAATAATTGAATTCCTAATATTAATTTACTTTAAAAATATATCTCTGAAGTGAATTCAGTGAAGTTTCATTACGTGGTAATGAAATCCGTACCATCAAACTCAAAAGGAAAAAACATTGTGCATATTTCTTGGCTTTTTTTTAGAAAATGTCACTAATCTAGGGACATTCATCGCATATAAATGATAATATGGTTCATTAAAATGTTGCTTTCTAACACATGGGTCGGGTTAAGAAACGAATTTCACCGATTGCGTGAACTCACGCGTGCAAAGCATCCCTGATATAGTGAACAAAACGACAGAATAACAATAAAGCAGATACGTCATACTTTGTAGGTCAGGTCTCTAAACTATTTAGGACACCTGACCTCATATGCTATAAAATTAATCAGATGACCTAAATAGAGACATTTCATTAAGTCAGTTTATACTGGCGAAATCTTGTATATAAAATTCTCGTGTCACAATTTTCGTTCCCATAATCCTCCGAAATGGCTTGACCGATTCTCATGAAAGTGAGCATATTGAGTAGGTCTGAGAATCGGCCAACATCTATTTTTAAACCCGCGCGGACGGAGTCGCGGGCGACAGCTAGTAATTGTATAAAATAGTATATGGGTCCCACTAGTACTCTTTGAGAGAACAAAGTTGACAATATGATATTGTGCGACAATGGAACCCAACGGTCTGCAAAACATCATTCATCATTTACAAATCAACCTTTTCAACGTCCAATGCCTATTTTTTAACCAAGATTGATGATGTCAGATGGAAAAATGGCGACAGATTTATTCACACAGAGTCGATTTTAGAATTTCAATCAACACGTCTTCTGACAATCTGTTTTAAAAAACGACAGATAACTTTAATATGGAACAGCAGCAACTCGAATCAATAGTACATTATACGAGGAAAAAGGAACGAAGAGAAAGGTTCTTTAGGGTTGCCATCTGTCATTATTATTAGAAATGCTCCAATCACAGTCTATACAACTAGTCGCTTTAAGATTATTAATAAGTAAATTTATTGCAGTCTTATAATGTTATAACTATTTTAGCTTCATCGTTTATCCTTAAATTAATATCTGTTTAACATATAACCTACTTGGATCATAGTCCTAATAGAGAATCCAGATCACCCAATTACCTTTGACGACATATAGGTTAACTACACAAAGCAAACAAAAGCATAAAGGGTCAGGCTGTTCTCGTTAACAGCAGTGATTTGGCACAACTCAATTAAGGGTACATCATAAACAATGACATCATAAAGGGCGCGGGATATGAATCGATTAATGTCAAAGATTAAATTGACACGTGCTACTGCGATACATCAAGTTTTCTCAACTGAAGATTGCCACAAAATATTTGAATATGACTATACTAGCAGCTTTAGATGACATTGTCCGTATTATTTTCAGACTTATTTTTATGCGTATACACTTTTCCCGACAAGGTACTATTTCGGTACCAAATTCCGGCTTTACCTTTCCGGAGTTTCACTGGTAGTATGATCCGTATTTTCGCATTTATATTAGTAAAGAAATATGAACGATTGTGTAAAGCAATCAGCAGCCCTAACACTACTTGGAAATACTTTCACCGTAATACTCCCCTGACGCGTAAGGCCTTTATCTCTTATTTCTATACTCAGAAACGTTTCAATCTAGGTCACGTGTACGTGCCATGGAGACTTTACAATTTTATATAATACAAAAACAATTGCCAAAAAGAAGTCATCAGTTTAGATGGATGGATGTTTGAAAGTATCTCCATAACGCCTGTATAAATTTCACAGAATTTTTGCATAGACGTAGAGCATAGTCTGGAATACTAATTAAGTTTTTTTTTTAATTCTAAGATGGAGTAGCGACATCTCGTCATGGTATAAAAATCGTCACTCGACTTAATTCAAATTGTCATTAGATTGAAATTGAAATTTTAAATATAATATAAATTTTTCTTCCAACCAGTCATTTAAACAGTCTCAGTGTAATAATTAAAGACTCCTTGGTATAGTAGCTTTGCAAATTACTTTATTGAAACTAATGCGATCTCGCCATTAGTTTAAACAATGTGTATATGCAATTTAATTTCGACAGGAATTGAAAAGGATAAAGGAAACGCGTTCATCCATTCGGATGTATAATTACTTGATATATCCTATAAGTACTAATAAAAAGTTAGTTTGCTAGTTAGCTAATTATACAATATGTTTTAGCTAAAGATTTTTTCGCTTGTAAAAACATATAATTCTTACTAATCATACTAATGTTATAAATGCGAATGTTTGGATAGATAGATGGATGGATGTTTGAAGATATCTTCAGAATGTATGTATGGATCTCGCTGAAATTTAGCATAGATGTAGAACATTGTCTGTAAGAACACAAAGGCTACTTTCTTTCATCAAGCGCGAATGGAGTTTCGGGCCACCGCTAGAAAAGGAATATTTGTGCAAATTATCATCATCAAGCAACGTACCTATTTACACACCTATCACGAATATTTAAGATTATATAATCAATGAAAAAGTCTGGAAAAATAAGAGTACCGTTAGAGTGTTTTAATGTACAAAATTTTTAAACACTCTGTATACGATCAAAGGTAATGAACGTGTTATAAATCATCCTGTAAATATATTCTAATCCGTTACATGATGTTATATAAGATTATGTTATTATCGTTGAACGCGTCACATATTGCAAATATTTATTACATCAACATCATCTCGTAAGCCTTCATTAGTTACGATAAGAAATTTATTAACAACTAGTATCGTATTACAAAGCACTTTAAAAGACATAACTATCGTAAAAGGAACGTTGAAACTTTATCGATCGTCTATACAATTAAAACACAAAAACAATTATTAAAATTCCATTTCAAATCGACATTCATAAATATAATTGCTAAACTTTTGACATTGTATTACGTAGCCACGTATTCCTAACCTTTAATTATAAACTACTAGCTGTCTCCCCTGACACCGTCCGAGCGGAATTTTAAAAAAACTTAATAAGTTTACGTGTTCTTCTAGACTCTATTCTACATCTGGTCCAAATAAAGATCCTATGAGCCATTCCGGAGGTACCTTGTAACAAACAATCATCCATCTAAACATTAGCATCTATACTGATATTATAAAGCGGAAGAGTTTATTTGTTTAAACGCGTTATCTCAGGAACTGAGCGATTTGAAAAATTATTTTTTTGTTGGATAGTTCATTTATATAGGTAGGCTTTAGGCTATATAACATTACGCTGCGACCGATAGGAGCGAAGCGTCAGTGAGTACTATTTTTTTTTTAATACCGCGCAGACGGAGTCGCGGAGAGCTAGTTTATAGTAATAGTAGGAAACCTATAAAATTATATAGAGGAAATAAAATATAAAAAATGGATTCGTTCCACTTATGACGCGGCTTTTTGTAATGTTTGGAAACACCTGCTGGTTTCAGGTAGTACGTATTTAATAATAATTAAATCAATATAAACAGTGTATCACATTTCAAGACTTAAGTTTATTATACCCAGTATTTTAAAGATAGCAGTTAACCTAATAAATAGGAATTAACTGTCTGTACAGTCTGGGAAAACCATATTGTCTCATTGAATGAGGCATCATTAAGTTATAAAACATTAAAGTTAATTTAAATTAGATAAAAATACATATATACAATAACACTCTTTCATCATTTAACTTTCTACAATAAACTGTTGAAAAAACCAACTTGAATCTAGGCCAAAAAAGGGTCTTGACAGACAGACGGACGGACAACAGTGATATAAGGGTTCCGTTTTTTTCCTATGAGGTACGGCACCCTAAAAATCATTTTTAAGTCTCAATTTCTTATATTGACTAGATGATTAGTACTCGTTACAAATACCACATGTCAACACTATTAAATTGATACAAAAAGAATTGATTTCATAAATGTACTTAAGTCATAATTATATCGTTAATTATTTAATTTCTACTTACATTTATTAACATGTAATATTAACTAAATTCGTCTTCACATCTTTACACTTAGGACATTTAATCCTCATCGTATTTCTTCACATTCACATAAGCTACATAACAGAAAACTACACGCGATTCGAATATAAAATTCAAACAAAAATAATCACTGAAAAAATATTTCAACAATGACGTCTATAAAAATCACAAACAACCACAAAAATGTTCACTAAAAACGCTGGAGAATACTCATAAAAAAACACCAACCGCACCCCGTAGCAACAAAACCTCGGGGTAAATAAAACACTGACGTCACTCCAGGCTTATCCCCGAGCCATGCCATCCAATGTTATGT